AATCGGCTGATGAACAAATAGAAGGTAATACAGATTCCAGGGTTCAGTTTAAGTACCGTTTGTATATCTCTGTGTCAGATGATGATGTAGTACAAAAAACAACACCAGCTATTTTGCCTTTTTGCTTCTCCAGAAAACGTCTAACAGTTCCTACAGAGTATAAATAAATTCACAAAGAATGAAACAACGATTTACCTATAATATTCATGGAGTAAAAGCATGACTGCAGAAAGAACAATTCATCCGTAATTTCCATTTTCTGCCAATCACTGATTTGTCCTGTACATGGTTGCGAGAAGTGGGAGGGTTGTTGAGAGTTACTTTTTCTTAAGGTTAGTACCACAGCTAACATCAATATTTACAGATAAAATATTTTCATTCATGCATAGGATGATAAGAAATATTCTATAGCACAAGTAAAGAGAAACTAAACAAAGATAAGAAGAACTTACTTATTGCCACATGAGAAGCTGGTTCACGAGGGTAGTTTTTAGCTTCTGTGTATATACAACCCATTGCGATGCTAATGAAATAAGCAACGAAAAAAATTTACTAATAATATCCATAAATCTATAAAGTTCACTATGTGAAACAGGACAACTAAAACATCATTTGTTAAACTAAAATTAGCAATTAGATTTAAGCAATATGATCCTACATGTACCTTTCAAGACCATTCTCAATGAGTAGTTCCAAGCAGGACCGATAGCAGTGACTAAGTGCATTCTCTGCAGCTGTGTGATACTTGACAGCATATTTGGGGCCCACAGTATGGATGACCTTCCTGCATAATGAATTGATACATGCATCTTAGCATAACTGAGATTACAGACAACCACAGAACAACATGTTGGATATGAGTAAATCTGTGAGTGTTCAACAGCTAGCTGCAGCAAAGTTAGACTTTCACTAAAGCTTCAATTACTGGCCACTGGAGGCTTGCTTGAAGTAACAAGTTATATGGGTTCAACAACAGCGGCTTGTTATATAAAGTGAATCAGGGTATGGATATGCAGTGTTTGTGAAACACAGGCACAGGGGGTATGCTTTGCTTAATCAGAAACAACCGTCACACCAGTGATATATCACAAGATTCCGAAAAAAACGCAGGCAAAACAACCCGTAGTCTGACTCCATAAGCAGAAACTTTTGTGTTGCCCTCACTGCTCAAGATTTGCAGGAAACATGAAGCTGGGAACTTTGAATCGAGCAACTTATTTACTGTAAAGGGGCACAATTGTCATTGTGGAACCACATAACACATCAATGTTGTAGCTTAGGTGTCCACGGTGTTTAAAGATCTTCAAACACATAGATACATTTTCTACATGATCCAATAAGTGAAAATACAAATAACATAGGCCCAGCTTACCTTGCAGGCAGATCGTAGGCATTGGTCATCTTGGCCATCCCAGTTCGGCAACCTCCCTGCAAAATGGTCGACCAGAAAACAGTTGATGCTTAACAGTAACCATCAGCGCAGTTGAACAAACTTCCCCCTATAATTTGCCAAAAGCTCTGTCGCGAACAGTACCAAGGTGGCGCACTCCTCGGCGAGCCCTGACCCGGCAGCGGCGTGCAGCCCAGGGCTACTGTGCGCCTCGTCCAAGCTCTGCACGAAACCCCGGAACAAAGACAATAGCTTATAAAAGAAACTGAAACCAATTCCCAGCACTGATGCGAGGAGGGGGTACAGGAATCGAGACCTCGTTGGTGGAATTGACGACGGCGTCGACCTCGAGGTTCCAGGGCTGGCCACGCCAGAGGTAGATCCTGGAGTTGATCTCCTGGTCGACGGGAAAGCGCGAGGCGCCCCCGGCGCGGCCACCCGCACCAGCGCCGTCGTCGCCCGTGAGCGGGTCGGAGAAGGAGATGAAGCCGGACGCGGAGGTCGCATCGGATCCGGCGCCCTCCGCGGACGCCTCGTCGGGCGTGGAGGCGAGGAAGATGCGCTGGTCGGGGTCGCTCCAGCGCGGCACCTGGTCCAGCGTGACGGCCGGCTCGATGCCGCCCAGGCCCGGCACCATGGTGGCGCCCGCGGCCTCCGCCGCCGGCGAGCGCGGCTGCATGGAGATGGAGGCCGGTGGGACGCGATCAGTAGCGGATAGGCCGCCGGCGGCGGGGAGGAGAGATCAGGCAGGCCGTTAAGCGAGGCCAGCGGGGCTCGCGAGGAGATAGAGGAGAGGAGCGCGCACCGAGGGAGGAGGACGGATTAATGTGCTTGACGTTCATGACATGTGGGGTCTCGTGGGCCCACGGAGTCAGTAAACGGTGCGGCTTTCGTGGGGTCACGGCGCGTGCGCGTAGCTGGCGAGATGCTGTTGGGTGACAGGGTGAGGGAGTCGAGCCGTGCTGGATTCGTGCAACCCCTCCGCTACGGGCACGCGAGGTCAGTAACCTGGCTGGCTGGTGCTCGTGACGTGGATGCCACCTCGTCTCTGGGTACGGACCATGACGCGTGGGGCCCAACAAGGGAAGGGGAAAACGGCCGAAGGGGAAGAAGGTTCGGTTCGCGCTGGGCCGAGCCCACGGAGTCACGCGCGAGCGGTGAGGACAAGCAAGTCGAGTCTGAAAAAGGATGGGCCTAGACGCCCGCGGGATCCGTGTCCGTAATTCTTTGGATCGAATCTGGGCAACAGCTTGTGATGGGTTCATCTCATGTCCGATCTGAATGAGCTGGGGGAGATGTTGAAGAAAGCAGAGGCAAGAGCAGCGCGTGTTGGGTGATCGAATCGATCATGCGTCGGCGGTCCTGTGCGCATACAGTTGGAGGGATAAGATGGCTCAACAACTCGGCGATTGCGCATGTCTGCAGAACCATCTCCCAGACTCCAACCTTATCATTTCTCATTTCTGAGCACAATACCCATGGATTTTTTTTTATTATATTAGAGACAAAAGACGACGGGACACGGGAGAAGAAAAAAAAATGGTACCAGAGAATTGTAGGCGGCTCGAGGAACAAAAGCCCAAACACGGAATTCTCTCGGCCTAACCGTCAAGCGATTTGGCATGTCCCTTGTGAGTGGCCCAGAGTGCCCACTGAGGGCCTGTTTGATGTGGAGCACAGGGGTGGCTCGGACCGTCGGCCAGGCTCAGAGAGCACAAGTGCTCGGGTTTGATTTCACGCACCAGTACAGTCCAGCCCAAACATGTCTGTGTTTGATTTAACTCTGCGAGCCAGGCCAACTACCAACTAACTCCAACTAACAGTTGGAGATTCTGTTTGATATGAGCCTGGCTCACCACGTCCCATGAAGCAACATGAGAATGCACGAGTAATTTGCAAATGAACCCACATAGCTTTATAAAAACAAATATTAGCTAAAACATAGTTACAATAATATGAATTACATATAAGTGACAATCAGGTGGCCTCAGACTAAATAGTAATTAATGGTTCACATAATCCTAGTTGCCTCAGCAGAACAAAAAACAAGTTAACAAACCAGCTATCATTTAGAGAAATACAACAACCAGATAGTTCATTGACATGGTAACAAGGCAACCAACAATAACAGAAATGGATCAGAGAAATACAAAGAAACTAAGGCAGTAATCCATCATCTTTTCTTAGCCATCACAGGCCTAAGATTGGCAGTTGCCCTGTCCAGTCATGCTCACCCTTATCCATAGTCCGAGCACCACAAAAAGCAGTGAGATGATTACCACATTTTTCCAACACCAAGACTTACCATCAACAGAAGAAATATCCTGACAATAGGCATCAGGGAGTAGCTGAGAGGGGAGGGGAGTTGGTGCTCCCCAAGATGCATTGAAATCCCTAAATGCCTCCTTATAATTTTTGTACTTTAAATACCTTGCATTCTTGAATCCAAGAACTTGTTCACTGCATTCATACCAGGTTCTATAGATTTCAGGTTGCTTCCCATGGAAAACCACATAGCAAGGTGCCATTTTCTGTAAAATCAGAATTGTAATTAGCCTCAGTCTTTTGTGAATCATGAAACAAGTCATGAGTGCGACATTGAAGATCTAGGGATTGATGAAAGAAACAACCTATGATCCTAAATGCCACACCGATGGCTTGGTTCATCTTGTTGAAATGAAACAATTAACATCATAGGCTAAAAAAAGTGGCCTTAGTTCTATAATTTGGTGATGCAATTCATGTAAGTACTCATCACAGATGGCTGCACATGTAGCAAACAAGTCTAGAAAAGCAGCAAGTTTGAGACTGCAAATAAGTAGGAATAGAACATCAAGGCTGCCATGGAACCCATCTGGCCATCCATTCTCTGTCGCCATCCAACTGGTGTTGCAAGAGAATGGATGGTTCAGATGGATTTGATGACAGTCATGAAAACCAGCAAGAACAAGCCATGAAAAAACAATAACAACAGGAAACAGTTGTGAAGCCACCTCATTATTTTTTTTCACATTTTGCATCATAGGCCAGATCAGAAACCCACTTTAGGCACCAATCCATGGAAACACATGTATCAAATCCAAGAAATGATAGAAATATATGAAAGCATGAAGTGAAGATTCAAACAAGGTCGTCCCCAAAATCATGAAAGCCATGAAATCCATGGGCACATCCATTCACTACCATCAGCATGGTATGAGCATGCTGTTGCTAGGGAATGGATGTGTCCCATGTGTTCAATGACACCCATGAACAGCACAATGTAATACAGTCCTCCCAATGCAATATGAACATAAAGTGACAAATATAGTAGCAGTAGCAGTAACCAACAGGGGTTACTAATTAATACATCAAGTTTGTCTCCAAATAAAGGTTCAGCCCACAACAAGTAGGCACTTTAGTGAACTACCAAGTTACACTTGCTCAGATATAGTTAGCCACCCTCCAACTATGCAAACCCAAAAGGACAGGTGCTGGTTAGTCATCTACCATGCACAGGAGCTACATAAAAATGGAACCCAAAAAAGAAGAGAGTGGGTGAGGGAGGTGGAGGAACTATACATCTCAACAGTCAACCCCCTCCTTGTCTTACTGTCCTAGATGGACAGAACTACATATAGTAGTTCTTGGCAAGGTAGTTTCTTAGCCAAATGTCCCTATGACTAATTGCCATGTTCACAAAGTCCCTGTAAAGGGCCTTGTTTTCCAGCAGGTAGGTGTAGACAACAATGAGAGCTTCAGTGATGAAGCTAGGCATCCCCATCACTGCAAGATAGAGGTCAGGATCCACATATGCAGGCCTAGTCTCTCTAAGTGCAGAGGCTACATTGTTGACAACATCAGTCATGTTAGTCATTATCAGCATCTCTTCCTCACTGAAATTACCCCTCTTTCTATTTACTCCCACAGTGGAAGTGAGCAGCTCAGTTGCCTTGCCACCCTCACCCATCTCAGGGCTGCATTTGACATCAGCAGCTGTGGTGAAGCCATGGACCTCAATCTTAGCAGCAACACTGTCGTCATTGTTCACCCCAAGTGGCTCACTGGAACCTAGGGCAAACCTACCAGTGGCCATGGAAGAACCAAATATGGTCTCCATCTTAGTGTAGAACCTGATTGGGGTGTTGAGGAATTCAGCATCCTTAGGATGATCCTGCAGTCATGTGTGCTAAAGTAAATAAATAGGGAAGAAGAGAATAAGTGCCTACAAGAGGAAGAGATAAGAGAGAGGAAAATGGATTCAGTTTCTACCTTGTAGTGGCCTGTGTAGTGCTCAGGTTCAAGCATTATGGCATTGACATCATGATCAAACGGTGCACCACTAAGGTCTTTCAACTTCTGAAAGCTCTAGTTTAGTTTTCGTGTATTGATGAAACCATAAGTGCTAACCTAGTTTATCAAAGTGATCATTAGATAGGTAGCACTACTCCAAGCGGTGAAGCAAATGAAGATCATGACTTGATGATGGTGATGCCATGGTGATGATCAAGTGCTTGGACTTGAAAAAGAAGTAAGAGAAAAACAAAAGGCTCAAGGCAAAGGTATAAATGGTAGGAGCCATTTTGTTTTGGTGATCGAGACACTTAGTGAGCGTGATCATATTTAGGATCGATAGACGTACTATTAAAAGGGGTGAAACTCGTATCGAAATGCGGTTATCAAAGTGCCACTAGATGCTTTAACTCATTGCATATGCATTTAGGATCTAGTGGAGTGCTAACACCCTTAAAAATGTTTGTGAAAATATGCTAACACACATGTGCACAAAGGGATACACTTGGTGGTTGTCATATTTAAGCAAGGGTGAGAAACTTTACCGGTGGAGTGTCCGCCCATAGAGTGCGGACAGTCCGACGGTGCCACTGGCGCCCTATACATAAAAGACAGGGTTTCACAAGGTGTAATGGACGTGTCCAGTGGATAAACCCAGGTGAACGTGGTCACCGTAAGTGACCGGACGCTGGTCTCGAAAGGACTGGCGCGTTCGGTCAGTGGCAGCAGTGAGCGTGCGATTTCGGTCTCATGACCGGACGCTCAGGGCCTGAGTCCGGTCAGTATGAGGTATAATGACATATGCAGCGCACAGGGGAGACGTTGAGTGACCAAACACCGGGTGAGTCCGGTAGGGCATGATTTTTCGCTTCTGGTACCTTACTGGAAACGACCAGACGCTGGTGTTGGTGCGTCCGATCACTTTGAGCAGCGCGTCCGGTCACTACTTAAATGTACTGATGACCGTTGAGATCGAGCGATTAGCGTTTGAAGCCAATGACATGTGGCAAGCATCGGGCGACCGAACGCTGGGGTCCAGCGTCCGATCAATATGACCGGAGTGTCTGGTCACCCCGTGTTGTGCCCAGTGAAGGGGTACAACGGCTCTATTTCGTGGGGGCTTCTATTTAAGCCCCATGGCTGGCTCAAGCTCACCCTCTTGGCCATTTGAATTGACATAGCAACCTTATGAGCTTAGCCAAAGCCCTCCCACTCATCTCCATCATAGATTCAACATCTTTGTGAGATTGTGAGAGAATCCAAGTGCATTGCTTGAGTGTTTGCATCTAGAGGCACTTGGTGTTCGTGTTTCGCTGTGGGATTCACTTGTTACTCTTGGTGGTTACCGCCACCTAGATGGCTTGGAGCAGCGAGGATCATCGAGCGGAGGGTGGTGATTGTCTCTGGTTCCGATCGTGATGATTGTGAGGGGTTCTTAACCTTTCCCCGGCGGAGAGCTAAAAGGTACTCTAGAGAATTGCTCGTGTCTTGTGTGATCCTCATCTTATGTTGGTTGTGTGGCACCCTATTGAGGGTTTGGTGTGTGATACCAATTAGCGCATGAACCTCCAAGTGAGTGAATCGCCACAATGAGGACTAGCTTGCCGGCAAGCAAGTAAACTTCGGTAAAAAATCATTGTGTCATCATTTGATTCAGAGGTGATTGGTCTTCATTGGTATTCATTCTTGTGATTGATTGGTTCACTTCTCGACTCGGCGGTATAACCATCTTGCTCACTCTCTTTACATTACCGCAAACTAGTTATCAAGATCTTTAGTGTAGCTAGTTGTGAGAGCTTGTTAATTTGGTTAGTGTGGCTCTTTAGTTAGCCTTTGAGAGCACACTAACTTAGTATAGTGACATAGCCATTGTGTGGTTAGAAACTATAGAAACTAGAATTGTGGTAGGTGGTTTGCATTTTTAGTAGGCTAGCGCAACACTTGCTTCGCCTCATAATTATCTAACCGGTTTGCTAAGTGTTGTTGTAGAAATTTTTAATAGGCTATTCACCCCCCCTCTAGCCATTAGGACCTTTTAAGTGGTATCAGAACCGAGGTCACCGTGATTTGAGGCTTAACAACTTTCGGTGTAAAAATTGCTCAAATCAACAACACCAAGAAGCCACTCTGATTTGATGGCTCAAATTATCCCTATTGGAAAGCTAAGATGACAACTTATATCAAGTCAATCAATAGGAAGGTTTGGAAGGTGGTAGAGACAAAGATTGAGATTGAAGATGAAGAGGCTCCCACCGCTGCCGAAGAAATGCTACTCCAAAATAATGACATTGCTCTTAGTGTCATCCATGATGCTGTGGATGAGAGAACTTTTGAGCAAATCAAGAACATTGAGAGAGCTCAAGAGGCATGGAAGAAATTGGAGAAATCATTTGAGGGCACTCAAGCTGTGAAGGGTGCAAAGGCATACATTCTCAAAGAGAAGTTTGCAAGCTTCAAGATGAAGGAGGATGAGAGTGTGCCGGAGATGTTCCATAGGCTTCAAGCACTTGGAGAAGAGGTGAAGGACAAGGACTTCTCCCACAAGTTCTTGAGATGTTTGCCTTTAAGATTTGGCATATTGGTTACTATTCTAGTGAGTAGTGGTTTGGACACCATGACACCAAACCAAGTGTTGGGAAATATAATGACCGATGATACATATAGAGATGATGATGAGAAGGAAGAAAAGAAGGAGAAGAAAGATGAGAAGAAGAAGAGCGTGGCATTCAAGGCCACATCATCCAAGGGCAAGGCAAAGCAAGATACATCAAGTGAAGATGATGGCTCATAGGATGATGATGATGATGAGAAGATGGCTCTCTTTGTCAAGAGATTTGGGAAGTTTATGATGAAGAAAGGATATCGTGCTAGAAGGAAGAAATCTTCATCCAAGAATAAGGAAGAGTCAAGAAGGTGCTTCAATTGTGGAAGCAAAGATCATCTTGTTGCTCAATGCCCATACAATAGTGACAAAGATGATGACAAGAAGAACAAAAAGAAGGGCAAGAAGGAAAAGAAAGAGAAGAAGGACAAGATGACCTTCAAGAAGAAGAAGGGTGGTTCATATGTGGTCACTTGGGATAGTGATGCTTCCTCAAGTGATGATGATGATAGTGATGATGACAAGATCACCAAAAAGAAGGCACTTACAAGCATTGCTATCAATGAGAAGCCTTCTCTCTTCGACACTCCATCATGCTTCATGGCTAAGGCCACTAAGGTACAAATTTGTGATGATAGAAGTGATGAGGAACATGAAAATAATAGTGATAGTGATGATGATGAACCTACTAAGGATAAACTATTTGACATGCTAGAAGATGCTAAAGAACACTTTGGCATTAAGAGAAGGGAATGCAAAAGCTTGCGTAAGGAACTAAAAGCCCTTAAGCAAGCCTTTGATGAGCTCAATGCATCTCATGAGAGGCTAGAGGAAGCCCATGAGAAGCTTGGCAAGGCTCACAAAAGGCTTGAAAAGGCTCATTCCTCTTTGCTTAATGAACAAAATAAAAAGAAGCATGTTGAGACTTGTGATGTAGGCTTAACTTATGATATAATTGATGAATCATTATCTATGCCTATCATTGTTGCTCCCGCGAACCCTTCTTGTAGTACTTCTACTTCCATCTCATCTAGTAGTGATGGTTTCACTTGTGATGCCTCACTAATGGTTGAGAATGAGAACCTCAAGAAGGAGGTCAACAAGCTCACTCACACCTTGGCTAAGGCCTATGGTGGTGAGGACCGCTTGCTTATGTGCTTGGGTAGCCAAAGAGCTTCTCTCTATAAAGAGGGATTGGCTATACCCCCAAGAAAGGCAAGGCGGCATTTGCTCCTCACAAGACTAGTTTTGTGAAGAACAATGATCGGTTTTGCACTAGTTGCAAGCAAGTTGGTCATAAAGAGCATGAATGCAACAACAAGAGCAAAAATGCTAATGCATCCTCCATTAAGCTTGATTCTTTCTATATGCTTATCAAGGGTGCAAATGGTGTAAAGGCTAAGTTCATTGGTAAACCATGGATGGGTTTAAAGAAGAAAGCCATTTGGGTACCAAAGAGCTTGGTCACTAACCTTCAAGGACCCAAACAAGTTTGGATACCTAAAAATAATTGATCTTCTTTTGTAGGTCAATTACAACGCCGAAGGAAGGCATTGGGTTCTTGATAGTGGGTGCACTCAACACATGACCGGTGATGCAAGAATGTTCAATTCAATCAATATCAATGGCAATGATGGTTATGATAGTATCACATTTGGTGACAATGGCAAAGGCAAGGTCAAAGGGCTTGGTAAGATTGCAATATCCAATGACATGAGCATATCCAATGTGTTGCTAGTAGAGAGGTTGAACTTTAATTGGCTATCCGTGGCTCAATTATGTGATCTTGGATTCAAATGCATATTTGGGGTAGATGCTATAGAGATCATAAGTGTAGATGGCTCTAACTTGATCTTCAAAGGCTTTATATATGAGAATCTATACTTGGTTGATTTTAATACTAGTGAAGCTAAATTATCTACATGTTTGTTCACTAAGTCTAGCATGGGTTGGTTATGGCATAGAAGGCTTGGTCATGTTGGAATGAAATAATTGAATAGATTGGTTGAGCATGACTTGGTTAGAGACTTGAAAGATGTGTTTGAGAAGGATAAACTTTGTAGCTCTTGTCAAGCCGGCAAACAAGTTGGAAACACCCATCCTAAGAAAAGCATGATGAGCACTAGTAAAGCATTTGAGTTATTGCACATGGATTTGTTTGGGCCAACACAATACACTAGCATTGATGGTAACAAATATGGTTTTGTGATAGTGGATGATTACAC